TATTGGTTGATTTCTTAATTTTTTTTTTTTTTTTTTTTTTTTTGTTTTTCTCCGGTACCGGGAATCGAACTCACGACCTTGCGCTTGCCAGGCAGGCGCTTTTGCCGCTGAGCTAAACCCCCAGCCCCCCACTGCCTATTCTTTTGATAATCCATAACTCATTCTTTCCGTAATTCATTCATTCACTCACCATTCTAGACACATGGGTCAATGAACAGTAACAACCAACAGACAGTACCTCAAAAAAAGAAAAGACAAGACCTCCGTGGCAACAGCGTGTTAATAGCATCCCACCCATTCCTCCATAACCCGGGCCTCCGTCTATGTCACCAGCTGCAATGGAGGCCAAACTTAATAAAAAAGAAGAACGAGGAGGAGGAGGAGGAAGAAGAAGAGGAGAAGAGGAGAAAGAAAAGGAAAGAAAGAGGAAGAAACTTCATCTTTCCTGCACCTCCCTTCGTTTGGCTTCTGGGTTTCACTATCTTATTGTCCAGTAGCTGCTGCCCCAGACATGTTTCAGCTTTTGCTTTTGCTCAAGAACACAAAAGCTGCGCAGGCTGTCATGCCACCTGCCTGCAATCCCAGTACTTTGCAAGGCTGAGGCAGGAAGGAGAAAAGCAAGTTCCAGCACAGTAATTTACCAAGATCCTGACTCAAAATAAAGATAATTATTACTATTAACAAGGGCTGAGGAGCCGGGCGTGGTGGCTCACGCCTGTAATCTCAGCACTTGGGAAGCTGAGGCAGGAGGATCGTTGTAAGTTCTAGGCCATCCTAGGCTACAAAGTCAGCTCAAGGCCAGTCTAAACGGCATAGTGAGACCCTGTCTCAAAAAGACAAAAGTGGGGGGAGCGCTGAGGATGTGCAAAGGTCTTGGGTTCAATGCCCAGTACCCCCCACCCACCCAACCACACACATACATACAATGTGAGAGCTGAAAGGGAATTTAAAAGATCTAGCACAACATCTTCATTTTATATATACAAAGTCCTAGAGAGAAGACTGGACCAGCATCACCCAAAACTAAACACGGAATCCGACTAGACTCAGAGGACCCCCTCCCAGGTCTGGGTACAGTCAAGTTTTCAAAGGATCTCGCTTAAGGGCTGGGGATTTAGCTCAGCGGCACAGCGCCTGCCTGGCAAGCGCAAGGTTGTGAGTTCGATTCCCGGTACCCAGAAAAAAAAAAAAGATCTTGCTTGATCCTGTGAGGACCAGCCGCAGCGCGAGGAGCAAACCTTGGGCTGAAAGAGGACCGCTGATATTATAGATAAGCTCAATCACAGTAGCAGAAAGAAAAACATTTTCAAGCTCTTTACCAACCATCAGTCGCTGTGATAAGCACTTTATATTCAGCATCTCATCTGGATCCTACAACCCTATGAGCCGGTTTTACTGCCATTACTTCCCCATTTTACAGACTACAACTGCACGGCGCCTGGAGGATGAAGAACCTGCCCTACGTCCCCCAGCTGTTCAGTAACAGAGGAAGTGTCAGTATCAGGCGGGCGCTGTGCGAATCAGTCGAGGGGGACGGCTGAACGACCCCCGCGAGCTTCCCAGCCGTCACTGAGGAGCCGCACGGATCCACCCGCGGGCGCTGCCTCCCGACGGCACAGCGCCAGCCATCCCCGAGGGCAGCTTCCTTGCAGGAAGCCGGGACCTCCACGCAGCCAGAGCCGAGGGGTCCGAGCGGGACAGGCCGGGGGTACCTTTCGGAGGAAGCTGGCGACCACCTGCTCGAAGGGGTACTTGTACACCTGGTGCACGTCCACCGAGACGCCCATCCTCGCTCCCACCGCGATGCACGCTCTCCAGCCGGCTCCGCGGGTCTGCTCCCGGCCGCCTAGGGGGCTTGGCCTTTTCCGCTCCTTTTTCAAACTTTGGAAACTTTATTGTCCCCTAGAAGAGACAAACAGGAGGTGGCGCCCGCCCGCCCCAGAGCTCCGCCCCGGCGGCGGTGGCAATCCCGCTCCGGTCCCTCCCGGCCGCGCCCGCGGGGTTCCGCGCCCGCGCCCGCGGTCATCACGCCCTGCAGCGCCGGCCCTCGGGGTGGAGCCTTTCCGCCCGCGCTGCCTCGAATCGCGAAGTGAGCCTGCGCTGGTGCTGATAGCGCTAAATTTTAAAATGTCTACGGCCCCTTAAACTTTAGGATGGTAATATGACCCTACGCGGGGTTGCTTAGTCTGCTGTGAGCAAAGCCAGCAACTGCACTGCTCACCGGACTGAGACGGCTGCCTGGGGCTTGGGGTTTGGGCCTTTGGTACAACGAAAATTGCACAGAACTCCCAGCAGTGTCTAGGAATTAAAGAACCTGGCTTTCTAACTCTGCAGGGAAGTTTTCTTTTCTCACTAAAAATTAAATATCAGGGACCAAGGAGCAAAAGGATACAAAAAGAATTTTAAGTATTCTTTACTTCAACTAAAGATGTTAGCAAATGAGCAAGTTGATCCTTTTTTTTTTTTTTTTTTTTTCCAGTAAGTTACTCCACATATTTGTCAAGCGCTGTCGTAGGCACTACGGATTCGGCAGTGACTTCAACTCGATCCCTGCCGCGACCCAGAACAAACACATCAGGTGGTTTGGCACCAGGGAATGACCCGGGAAGTAAAGAGGATGGGTTAACTCACAGGGCAAGGGACATGGTTTTAGCTAGCTTGAACACAGACGTTCTCCGAGGTGCTGACATCTTCATTTGCCCTTGGCATGCAGTCAGAGAGGTCTGACAAACCTCCTGCCTTGGATAAGTGTCCTCTCTAGTGGTCACCCAAGCAACCGAAAAAGACGGCAGGAAAATACACACCCATCGTGACAGGCCACTTCTTAAATTCATAGCCACTAACCTCAAGGGGCCTTTTAATGGTGCCAGGCCACTGCTCTACTAAAATACTGAATTTCTCCTATCTACCTATTCTCCCCACTCTGTTCTCACTGTGGAACTCCAGCACCTCCTTTCTCAGCCTTGCTTCCTGTTTCATTTAGTAAATAGAGAACATTAAACCGGGCGTGGTGGCACATGCCTGTAATCTCAGCACTCCGGAGGCTGAGGCAGGAGGATCCTTGCAAATTCGAGACCAGCCTGGGCTACAGTGTGAGCTCAAGGTCAGCCGGAACTGCATAGTGAGACACTGTCTCAAAAAGACCAAAAAAAAAAGAAAGAAAGAACAAACAAACAAACAAAAAACTACAGCTCAGATGCCCTGCCTTCCCGCCTGGTCGCCTGAGTGAGCAAGCATCTCACTAGGGACGCTCTCTCCACTTGCCTGCGCAATCCACAGGTGAGCTGACAAATGTTTAACAAACACCCCTCCTTTGAACAACCACTCAAAACAAATGTCTAAGGGTTGCTAATTATTATGGTGCAAATGCTCCTACCATGTTTAAAGCTGGGAACAGAAGCTCAGGACTACATTATATAGTATTTCCACCACCCACATACCACAGACACAAAAAAACCCTTAAGAATGCTGGTGTGGAAACGTAGCAATGCAATCACGATGGCATGAGCTTTGACATTTACTACCTTTTAAAATATAGTTTATTAATTATACATTTATATAATTTAATTTTTAGTAATAGTTATGTTCCACAACCACTTCAATCACATCACTAAAAGCTTCCATCCTTCTTGTTCAAGGATCTCTCTCTAACAATATCCCCCTCTTTCCTGTATCATCAGGGTTTGCTTCTTCTGGATCATTCCAACCAGCATATAAGAACATTGTGATTGCTTTCATATATATATATAAAATCTCCCTTCCATCTGCTCCATTTCTGCTCCTCAGAAGTGTGACCTATAATCTCTTGAACCCATTCCAATCAGTTTTGGTCTCCACCTCACCACTGAACTACTTAGTCAAGGTCACAATGACCAAATTGCTAAATCCAATAGTTAATTTTTAATCCTCACTTTACTAAAGATACAAGCAGCATTTCCTTGAAATATTGCAGGATGACTGGAGTAGAAAATCCGGTGTCAAACTCCTACATGTGTTGAATGTATGTACAAAGGAACTCCATTATATCACCAACCCTTCCTTACAGGAAAACCAGACAGTCTCCTCGGGAACCTACACAGGACCACAAAAGTAAAGGATTTGCTTGTAAGAATTTACGGTGTATAGCCAGGTGTGGTGGCTCATGCCTGTAATCCCAGCACCTGGGAGGCTGAGGCAGGAGGATCGTTGCGAGTTCGAGACCAGCTTGGGCTATAAAGTGAGCTCAAGGCCAGCCTGAACTACATAGCAAGACCCTGTCTCAAAAAGACCAAAAAAAGAATTTATGGTATTGTTCAGGATCAGAGAACAATACCTCCCAAGTCATTTTTTGGAATACTGAAGAATGTAAAAGAAATTAAAAATTCATAGAAGCACACTCACTTCTAGGCACCATGGTGTGTGCCTGTAATTCCCACTACTCGGGAGGTTTAAGCAGGAAGATCTCAAGTTCCAGGTCAGCCTGGACAATTTAAGAAACCATATCTCAAAATAAATGTAAAAAGGGTTGGGGATCTAGCTTAGTGGTAGAGCTCTTGCCTAGCACATGTAAGGCCCTGGGTTCAATCCTCGGTGCTGATGCTCCACCCAACTCCGCCCCTGCTCCAAAACAGTGGAAAAGGGAACAAGCAGGCTCAGCATCAACATCTGATGTTTTCTGTACCGTTTACTCATCCATGTAAAGTTTGGAGAAGACACAGAAACGTCAGAGAAGACACAATTACCCCCAGTCCCTGCCCTGAGCTTTTATTAACCAAGCTCAGATAACAGAAAAAAAGACTGCGGTATGTCAACACCACTGAATAAATTTCTGCGGCACACCGATGTGCCATTTTGTTATAGGCAGCTGAGTTAGACATAGTATAGGCAATCAGACAGGGCCAGGCCCTCGAAGGAGCCAATATAGAAGACAAGATACCCTAAAATGGAGAAGTGGTACTTGCTTCGGGCCAGATCTCAAGACCAAAGACTAAACAAATGCACCCACAAACCTCCCTAGGGATGGACATCAGGGATTGATATTCTAAATAGGTAGCAATCACCTCGAAGAGTCCTTGACCCAACCCCTTACCGGTAAAGCCCCTGTTCTGTATTCATGCCATCTTGCTACATGACTCACTTCCCCATTTGATCCCAATTTAATCAATTTTACCTGAACAATTCTTATTGGCTGACCACAGTTTTGTCTATTTTTCCCCTACCTTGGACCCACCTCACCTCATGGTTTTGCTCTATAAAAGTACCCAGGAAAGACAAAGTCTTGGGGTAACTCACTCAGGCCCCCTTTCTGTCCCCCTCTTGGACAGAAGCTTTCTTTTCTTTCCCTTAATAAGTATATTCTGCTCTTAACCTCCATTGTTCCTAAAATTCATTCTTCGGTTTTAGAGAACACAAACTCATCCCAGATATCATTCAGGTTGGGAATTTTTAATTTTCCTGTATCAATTTCATGCACTATGCCAAAAAGAATCATTTATAATCCATTGTCTGTTCTGTAGGCCTAGTGGACTTTGACCCAGCCCAATGTATGTTTCTCTAAGCTCATTGAATTCCCCTCAAAATCATTAATGTTCCCTAAAAGTACCTGACATTACCCATTCTCTTCCTCCCCTAGGAGAAAGTGATATATGCTCCTGAAGCATAGTGGATGGTAGGTAATCGCAATGCTGTGATTTTTCCCTTTTGCAAGCTAATAAATTCGTGTGACCCTTTTCTTTTTCATTGGAGACCACTGCAAAATGGCTCTGAGCAGGACTGAATATTAACCAATTGGCTTTCCATGTTTACTTGTGAGTTGTCTGAAGTTTAGGCACCTTGTCTGAAGATAGGCAGTGGACTCATAGTAAGTAAACCTCTGTGAGTCCCTGGTCACCGCTGAGGCCTGTATTCCTGTGAAGCTGTGACCACTCAAAGAACAAGATAAATTCACAGCTGAGGACACCTGGCTCCAACCCCAATTAACTTTTTTTTTTTTTTTTTTTTGTCTTTTTGAGACAGGGTCTCGCTATGCAGTTCAGGCTGGCCTTGAGCTCACTTTGTAGCCCAGACTGGTCTCAAACTTGCAGCAATCCTCCTGCCTCAGCCTCCCGAGTGCTGGGATTACAGGCATGAGCCACCATGCCCGGCATCCCCAGTTAACTAAGGAGACTGTAGCTGCAGGCATCTCACTCCTGCTGGGAAGGCCTTCCTGGAGATAACAAAGTTCTCCTAAATTAACGTAATGTATTACTTGGAAAAGTCCTGCCCATATTCCCAAGTTTTTTCTTAAGTATCCCCTTCCTTTGTTTGTAAACTAAATAAATACAGGCTGCCCAGAGAAGTCGTTGTCTAAACTCAGAGAATATCAAAGCTGTAAGAGAGTGAGACCCTCCTGGAGCCTTAAAATCATTTCAATTGTCTCATTTATTTAAGCCTTCCCTGTCCACTCACTTGAGACATTGCAGGCCTGATCAGCCCACAATAACTAAGGGTTATTTAATGCAGTACTTTTTAAATTAATTTTATTGACACCTAGTGATCACATTCATTATAGGAAATACGTACCTGTACATAGTATATGTACATATTTTCACTCTTCTCCCTTCCCATCAATCCTTTTTCACCTCACTCTTTACAAAATTTTGTATCTCATTTTTCTTGGTGCTATTGTGAAAGGTGTTGTTTCTCTACTTTCTCTCTCAGTGAGTTTGTTATTTGTGTACAGGAATGCTACTGATTTTTAGATATTGATTTTATATCCTGCTACACTGTTAAATTTGATTATTAAATCTAGTGGTCTTTTGGTGGAATTTTTTAGAGGTCTTCCACGTAGAGTATCAGATCATCTGCAAATAATGATAATTTCTTCCTTTCCTGTCCTTATTCCATTTATTTCTTTCTCTTGTCTAATTG